TTTTTTGCATGGTTGTTAACTGCCACAGCAACTTCATAATAAATATTAATTCTTTATACAATATTACAATAAATGATGAACATGATCTGTTCCTGTCCTTACACATATCAAGGTGTCCGTCAGTGAAATCACTCCCCTGTAAGACTCTCTGCTGCAAAATTTCAGGAAAACAATTCCTGAAATGTCACATAATTTTAGATGCACTGCAATCTATATTAATTCAGCTGCCTTAATTTCAACATGAGATTAAATCTGGCAGCCTATGTTCATCCAGTTAAAGTTTAATTTGTTTGGTAAGAGAAAACCGCACACAGCTTGGGATGCCTACTAACCTAACTGCCGGACAGACACTGCAGGCCGAGTGCGCACTGCATTTTATGCTGCACTAAACAGGGTGGCTCCTTCCCCTGGGTGTGGTCAGGGATACCCAGCGGCCTTTTAATTTTTCCCTGAGGTGCTGACTTCCCCCAGTGGGCCATGGTCTCAGCGCCCCATCCAGTGACGCCGTGGAGATTCGCTAACACAGCCACCGACAGGTGTACCACCTCTTGCCAAGTGGGGGGAAAGTGGGGTGGGGGTTAGGCAGGGGATATTTGTTGGGGTTCCTTTTCAGGGGCACTGGGGCTCTGCTGTACTGGTCAGCGGCAGACAGGAAGCCCCGAGAGAGAAGGGCATCTACCTCTAGCCCACCTAGAACACCTTCCTGCCCATTTAGCTCCCACAAATTTAAAGGTTTCAATCATTTGTGGATGACTTTAAGTTTGTTGTTGGCAAAGTGACAACCTTTGGCAGAAGGGCACATGAAATTACAAAAATATAGAAGTTTAGAACTATTTCTATTCAGTGGAATAGAGTAAATAGCCAAAATATAATTACCATATTTATCTGTCTATTATAGTGCAGCCGCCACCATTCTTTCTTTTCAAGTTCCCTCTCTTTGGGTCTCTGTTTAATTAATAAACAATTTTTAAAAAAAATTCACCCAGTATCTCCAAGGATAGTAGTAGTAAATTTCTACAGATGAATGACAAACTTTTGATTTTGTAACGTGTGTTTGTGTATGCTTCTGTACAGGCACGAGGTATAAGGATTTGATATTTTCCTAATTTATCTGCCAGCGAGGCCGATGTTTAAAAAGAAACACTCTGCTTTCGTTCGTTTAATGTAATGTGTGTGTAAGATGAATATGACAATAGATTTTAAGCAGATGCCATATTTATCCCTATTTTAGTAGTAGGGTTGGGTTTAATATTAATTCTGTCCTGGTATTGTAAAAAATAACAGGGTGCGATAATACAGTGAGCATGTTCTTTAGTCCGTTTTATAATGAATATCAATCTACTTTAACCACACTTCACACGCTATGGTAAAGCGTTTTTTAAATGTTTTAGTTGTCCTCTTGTAATAAAAAATCCCAACATGCTACAATTCAAGCTAAAAAAAAAAAAAAAGATAATCCGGAAACAAGAAAAGGTATCTTCTTTCCTGCAAGGCGCGCAATTTCAGCCCCTCGATTTCTTTCTGATGACATTTGGACACCCGATTCCCGGGGCTGAAAGGCTGAACTGCGATTTTGAACCCGCTCCGTAGCGCCTGACTGGACTGACGCAGGGAAGGGCGGGTGGCCGGACGGTGAGCCCCGACTGCCCGCATCACCGACAGCATCCATGCCCATTCAGACCTGCGGGACTGGTCGTGTGGCGGGCTGCGAGCTCCGCACCGAGTTATATATTTACATTGCAAGAAATAACAGACCTCAAAGTTTTCTCCTCCGAAATAACGCGCCAAAAGGTGGGTTCGCTTAGGAACGGAGAAAGCGGGGAGGTCGGGCTGTAAATGCAGAATAAGTGCGTCGGACTCGGGGGGTTAAAGAAGGAAACGCAACACGTTATTAAACAGTCCGGCGGTGAATCACGCTTACGGGAGCAGTCAGGCTGATAACACGGTGTGTCAAGGTTGCGTTTCATCTCATCCACTTCGGCTGCATTTAATGTAATCCCCCCCCCCAAACACACACGCACGCACACGCACAATCCCATCCCGCATCCATGCCGGGGAGTGATTGCTGTCTCGCCTCTTCGTGTCTGTAGGCACCAGTCTACCTTGCAAGTGTGTCGTCATGGTCCTCATGGTGTCCACACGGCCTCCAGCGGATCCTTCCGGGGGGTGAATGAGCGCTCACTGTCAGGCGAGTAGGGGCGGGGGATAGAGGGCGCTGGGGTAAGTTCATAAAAACACTCCACCTAAAATGATCACCGACATGCGCCTGAGCCGTTTCTCAGTTGGGACTGCAGCGGTGTTGCCTCGGTCTGTTTCTTGTTTTTCCCCTTTGCGCCCCCAACCCCCACACCCCCCTCAAGGGACTCCTGTTAATACGGGACGCAGTAAATGCGTCTCGATTATTTCGATGTTAACAAACCATTAAACCTTACTATTATGAAAATTTTGAAATTCCTCCCCCCCCCTCATCGGAAGAGCCCCAGCTATGTGGCAGTGTTTGCCACAGCGACTGTTAAGGCATCAATTATTTGCCTCTTAAAATAAATGATACTTGTGCTGATAAGCATTTAATTTCGATTTTGCTTACCGAAATTGTGGGTATTATTACGTATAAAGCATATCATAGATTAAATAAGAAGTGCTTTTTCCTTTTCTTTCGGCGGAAAAATAAAGATTAGAGACGAGATAATGACAGAGCCCTTGGACCCGCGGTAGATCTTTATTTCTACGCCTTTGTAAAGATATTGATGATGATGATGGCCAAGTGGACAGTTTGATTTTTGTGCGCCGAGCTAGTTATAAAGAATCAATATTATATCAAGGGGCAAGTTTCGTGATAAAGGACTTCAGCCACTCTGGCTATTCATCATAAGTCTGTAGCGAGCAGATAGGTCAAAAGAAATTATATAGCACTAAAGAGTGTGTCTCCTTATCTCTATATAGCAGGGAGTAGGGGACAAGCGGATCGATACAGTAGCTGCTGTATACTTCTCGCAATTATCAATAGCTGATTTTGTCTTCCCAGGGCTGCATCTATTAATACCAGATAATAAGAGCCTTTTGGACATAACTTCTAGGCGAAACGAGGAGGGGGGGAAGTTAGCGCGTAGGACGACCTTGTTGTCAGAGAAAGTGTCTCCCCGACAGAGTGGCTGCGGAAAGCGAAGTAACACGACTCAGCTGCCAACGCATTTCACGTATATATATTCCGGAATGTTTCTGCAGCGTGCAAATTTAAGGCAAAAAATTGATTCAGTTACCAAAGATACCGTTTGTACTGCTACTATTACTACTGCTACCATTATTATTATTATTATTATTATTATTATTATTATTATTATTATTATTATTATTATCGTTGTCATTATTATTTTTTATTATTGTTGTTGTTGATGATGAAGACATTATTGATGATGATGATGATAATAATAATAATAATAATAATTCGTGTATTTTACATGTCTTTTTATCTATTAAAAACATATTATAGCAATGTGACAAATGTGGAAAAGGTGAGGTATTTTCCACGCCATACATCATGAAGCAAGTTTTTTAACAAAAATCACATCACACTGACAAACACAGGCTACACAATATTACACGCGCGCATGGTCGAATAAATACCAGATATTTATCTAACCAATGACACTGGCATAATAAAAGAAATTTAAATTGATTTATTTATTTCAAATAATTTGTACTTAACATTATGATTTCGGCTGTTTCCTAAATTTGAGAAACAAAGGTGAAATGAGTCCGATCACCGGAAAAATACTTTCCTACGGATAAAATATTTTTCTCCGAAGCATAAAAGCTACCCGTTAACTTAGTTTAATACATTTATTTTCGTTTTTATGTTTTATTGCAGGATTCCGATAACAAATCTGCATTTCCCCATATCATTCGTTTACATACAATTCGGGATGATGCAACAATTTTTTTTCGTCCCGATGCAGCTGTTACCAGAGCAGAGTTATCAAGATCATGTAAGTTAAAATGCTAAGCATAAAGCCGGACGAAGGAAAAACTAGATGACCGCAAATCCTATCGTGTGTTTTATTTGAAAGCATTTATAAAGCGATCTTGAAATCTAGAATTTCATAAAATAGCGTTTTTCGAGCATACGCACGAATTACCATTAGAGTGCAAGTACACACGCCCTTACCTTAAGACATCTCCCCTCCCTTCTCGCCTAGCTCCATCCAAAAAGCAGCCCTCAAAATCTACATCTGCATGGATTTCTCTATACACCGGGCGGACTGGGCTCATTTGGGAAGCGGATATTTAGTTCGCGTCTCCGAGCAACATTTAGCTGAACACATTTCGTTCAGTTTGATACAGTCAATCTGAAAAATTGTGCCAGTTACTGATCAGAAACCAGAACGTTACATACATTTATGTGATTCCATTACAGGCCTCGTAGATTATTTTAATTCCCTTTTTTAATTTATAGATTGTTTTTTTCCCAATTTTTTCAGAATTTTAATGTTGCCAATAACAAATGATCTCAGATATATTATATGATGTGTTATCATTTAATTCCCATGTAATTGGGAATAATTTCTGAATTGCATCGCAGTACTACACATGAATCTGTTATATTTTCCATTGACATTTCGACGCAAATCCCACCAAAGCAAATAATTTAAAGATTTTAGAGGATGCTCGCAAAAACAATATCTGTTTACAACAATAATACTATTGATATAAATAAATTACTTTGCGAAAATAAAACACAAAAACTCCATACTTCCTGCACGTGTGATAGTCCTGACAGGATGTACGGCTTGCATTTAAAAAAGGAAAACGATATATTAAATCAAACGTAAGAGGAAAGCAGCAAATGCCTTGATATAAAACCGCTTAGGTTATATCGAGCTGAATAGCATGAAGCGGTTTAACAGTAACTGTGTGGGACATCCTAGCGGCCGCACGACGCAATGGGCTCAACTAAAGCCTACAGATTAACTGGCTCTCACACGTAACGCAGCCTCCACACGGCGAGATCCCGACGCCAGCGGCCACGCCAGCATCCAGCCTGCCTCTGCACTGAGCGCTCATCTCCTGAAGGTCCGTCTCCAGCGCTCCTCAAACTTTTATTTTTATTTTATTTTCCCCTACCGCTTCATCTGCGCATGGAATCTGAACAACTGAAGATAAAATACGCATATTATGCACTATATTTGCGATTGAACCGTTTTGGACATAAGCTTTTTGGGTTACTGTGCAGCTCAGGGTGTCTGGGGCTCGAAGGACATGCAAACCATCGTGACCTATACCGCTAAAAGGTTGTACTTTTGCCGTCTTTTGTCATAAAGGGAAGGACAGAGGAGGATCGCTGTCATATGCACGGCGAGGGAGGCGGCGAGAGCAAAGGGGCGCAGCGGACCTCCGTCTCCGCAAAAGAAACTTGAAGAAACGAAACACACGGGAGTTTCAGCCTGTCTCACGGGTGCATGGAAAGCTGACAGCTTAAATACTTCGAGGGGTGCCGCTTTCGACGCCCAAGTGAACACGACACTTTCCAAGGCGAAGCGACGAGAAGAAAAGTAAATTATTAAAAAGTTGTCTTGGCAAACTTTGTCGCATCTCTTCGGCCGTCCCGCCAGCAGCGGTAGATTCAGGCAAACGGCCGGGAATCCATCCGATAAAACAGTGCCTCAGTACTACGAGGAGAGGAAATAAAAAGGGAAAGACTGGCCACACAATACGCAATTAAGAAGAAACAAAAGGCACTTGGGACAGTGGAAAGCGCTGAGACTGAGGAGCTCACGGGGACAAAGTCGCCAAAAGAATGGCAGAGGAAAATAAATGTTAGTATGTGAAGGATCGGTACGCAGCCCGTTTGATCCTCAATCATAAACGTTATTGAAAGCTCGTGGAAAGCGTTATACGGGAGCTTAAGAATGGGACTTGAGAAGGATATTCAAGGCAGTAATTAATATGCACAACTTCTAAGGCAAAGTCCCGTTTGAGGAGGATAGAGAGGGTGAAAGAACCGAAGAAACCGATCGCCTGCGTCTGAAGACTCGTAAGAGGCGTGATCCGTGTCTGCTGAGCTGTCGGGGGAGGTGGACGGTGTGGCCAGACAGACAGACAGACAGACAGTGCTGGAGTGAGGCCGCTAATTGCCGAGACTGTGCCTCATCTGCATATCCAGTGTGTCCGCTGGACTTCAGCCAATCCCCCCTCACGCAGCACCATTAATCCCGATGCATTATTCACTATCATAATTATATACCGACATGCGCAATCCGCACAACAGCAACACCAGCTAATTTCCGTAATTTTGCAACTCGACTATTTGTGAACATTGCACCCCCCCCCACCCCAACACACACCCCCCTCCCCGGACCGCTCGTCGCTGATGTATCTGCAAAAAGCAGAAACAGCTCGCAGCGAACCGTCAGCATGTCCCGCCGCAAGCAAGCCAAGCCGCAGCACCTCAGGTCGGACGAGGAACCGACGTTGGCAGGCGTAGTTTCTGAAAATGGTAAGTCTCTTTTAGGTGCCTTCTTAGGCGGAAAAAGAGGGGGTGGGAGACTCCTTTTAAAACATAACCGGGGGAGTGCAAGTCGTCCTCAAACAGATAAGAGAACTTTTTAATGTAAAGAGCAAGATTGAGGTCCAAACGTTGCGTTCGGCATCCCTTGTAATTTTGTTGGTTAGGTATGAGTTTGGGCGCTGTGATGGGCGACCTGATTTATTTAGCATTTTCTTCAAACCATAAAACAAAAGGTAAGACGACGCATTTAACACAACAAACAAGCAGTTTTTAAATGAAAATTACGGATCGGACAAGTTACTTTTAAGGCGGTACGATATGCTGTAGCGTGTGGTGGGTCTTATGTCTGTAATCGCAGCGAACTTTGAGAATCGAAATAAATGCCGTGATGTTTCAGTATTTAGTTTTCTTTTGGTCAGTCTAAATATTTACCGAAGTTGCATCTTTTTCCGGTCATGCTGAAGAGCCCTCGTTCCCCCAGAACGGCGTTTAACTGGATATTTTACAACAATATTTTTATATAGACTATATTATATAATCCCTATTAACGCGAGCCATGCTTTACATTTTCGGTCTGCGATATTTAGGTGATATGTGATGTTTGGAAATAGACACACGTACCAGCTCTACTTGACATGCATCCATACGTAAAAGTGCTCATGTGAAATTATTACTCCCGTAGTACTATGTCCATACACTTAATCGCGTATTTGGAGAGATCTCTTAATTTTTAACAGTGTTATTTAGAATTATTCACTTATTTTCATAATAATTAAGGTGGCCGGGAAAACGTATTTTATTCCTAACAGGTTTCAAGCAGAGCGAGATTAGGAATGTAAGTTCTATTATAAATAAGGCAATTACTTTGAAATATCTAAGTTACATGAATACAATTAATCAGAAATTTATTTTTTCCAACTATAACAAAACCTTATACGGTCCAGATTTGTTATAGGTCAAATATATCATCACAGTATGTTGATGTTTATGTTTTAAATTATGTTCATAAAAATAAAATTATAAGACTGTAAATAATATTTTTAAGTCAAATATAATTATGGACTGAAATATTTATGTCTACCTAAATTGTAAGTAATTACTACACTGATGCTAAGGCAAATTCAAAGCAAGGTAATCAAGGTAATATCTGTTTTTTCGCACGATTATCTTTTTCGAAGCTTTACGTAGTTTGTTGTTCCGGCTAAAAAGAAACGCTCGCCTTTACCGAAAAAAAGATTAAATGCAAAGTTTCCCATTGTTATGGTAATGTTTTAGTTTACTTCACATTGAATATCTCACGCTCGGTTTCTCTCTTATCCCTCTCAGTAACTACACTGCCAGTTGTGAAGACTGGGAACACTGCACTGGCTTTGAAATAAATCGAGCAAAACGTAGCAAATATTTTGGTCTTGGGGGGGGGGGGGTGGTCACCGATTGTCTTTGTCATTTTCCAAAATGTAGTATAACTTAAATGATTTTATAAACCAACGTTTGACTGCTAATGAAATACAGCACCTTTCCATCGCAATATACAGGCTTCCAGTCGCCTGTACTTCTCGCGTGGGCATGTATGTTCTGTCTAAGATATTGTTTACAAATTTACACCCAGATTTAACTATCAGACTCAGAGTGACACTTCAAACAATTAAAGTAGTATGCAAATATATATATATATATATACTATATATATATATATATATATATATATATATATATATATATATATATATGTTTATTTGAAGAATAATCCAATCGACCATGACCAGGAGAATCAGTTGGAAGATGGGTGGATGGACAGACAGATTGATGGAGAAAACGATAAATGTTTGATGTATCTATGTTTATAAAATTAGGTAAAATGAGGCATAGCCACAGGCAAGCCATATGAGTTTATTTTATCATTTATTTTCTTAATTTTGCTTTTAAAAATTATATTTCAAGCATATATACTTTTGACATAACTTCCAATATCCTGTAATAAATACAATTCAGTTTAAGCCACTTAGGAAAAACAAACACGTTTGATTTATTTATTTGTTTGTTTTCCCATTTGTTTATTTTGCATTAGATGTGCTTTGCAGTCAGGGGGGTGAATTCCAAGCACATTATCCTGTAATGACAGGAAATGGCCAAATCACTTTGGGTGAGTTTACAATTATTATTATTATTATTATTATTATTATTATTATTATTATTATTATTACTACACGCTGACAGATGTGCTGCACTGTCACCCTTGTAGTTTCTGGTCCCCAATGGCATTCCCAATTCTCACCGCTTTTCCAGCTGAATTCTGGACAATTCGGTGTCTCCCACGTAAATCGCACCAGGACCCCCCCCCCGCCCCCAGCAGAGCCAGTCAGGTCTGCCCACCTGCAGGATGTTTATCTGGGCTGTTTAAATCACAGCACCATGCCTGGGGTGGGGGGAGGGGGGTATCGCGGTGGCAGTTTATTACTTTTTGCATTTAAAAAATTTCCTTCGCTGGCCCATGAAGGGACTGGCCGGCATATGGAAGCTGTCTTCACAGGTTTCCCGTCTATCCCAGTATCCACTTAAACACTTTGCATTCCGACTTAGATCCGTGATGCATCACGCCATCAAAAGATGCATAATTACACCAGTTAGGAAATAAATAAATAAATACATGGAATAAGTAATGAACTAAAAAGCATAATATTTTCAGCTTTGCATTATATATTAATTTTGATATTATATGTTTGTTTTAAATCCCTGGGCTTCCAGGGAGACGGAAGTGCAGCAGTGAAGAGCCACAGGGTTAACGAGACGAGAGAAGGGTGATCGAACAAATGCACACAGCTTCCCCTACGAACGTCTGGCCGTTGTAAAGACCATGGAGTCAGATCTCAGAGGTCTTAGAGTCCTCGGCCGCGGGCTGTTGACAGGCCGAACGACAGCAGAGGGAGGACAGACCACGTTTCATGGTATATTCTGGACGGTTTTGGCAAATTTAACCGAAAGGAACAGACTTAAATGCACCGGACCTAACAGCCCCTCCAGACCTTAGTGAGTGCTGAGGGATCGGCGGACGTCCAGAGGATCATGTCACCTTCTGTACCAAAGGGCACCCAGCATTTTCAAGAGTAGCAGTTGTCTGGGATTTTTGACACTTGATTCAACCTGTTTTCCTTACAGATGAAAAGGCCGATATAATTATTAAGATTGCCTCTAAGTTCCACCTCTTAAATATAGCAAAGCGAATTGCTGTGATGGCTTTGTGAGCCGCTGAAAATTACACTTTCTGTGATTCAGCTTGAAAGAAACCTAAGAATTGGAAAAAAAAAAATAAAACAAATAGACTGGAAACTGGAAATAATTTTAGTTCAATTATGTACAAGTCCATTCCCCTTTTATTGCAGATATTAACACTACATAATTCTTCAGAGTAATGCAGCAAATCTGCCTCTGATTTGATTTGTTTTTAGTTAATGAATAAAATGAATAGAATTGTACAATTCCATACCATAGTGAATCGTCCACTGCAGTCCATCTCACTCTGTCATGTCCACTTTTTACGTGGCAGTGAGAAAATAAATAAACAAACTTATAAACAATAAAATAACATGGCACCAAAGTATCCATGATAGGTAAGATTCTACAGGAGCTTCATTTTCCGCTGCATGGAGGGAGATTGTTGATAATTGTACAGCTGTTTTTTTCACCCCATCCTGTGTTTAATTAGGAATTAACCCTGGAGTTGATTTGACCTTTTTTTTTTTTTTTTTTTGGGGGGGGGGGGGGGGGGATGGTGCTCATTCGCCTTTGTGTCAGGCCCACATTGTTGTCAAATGTAGCATATTTGGGTCCTTTTGTGTGGCGTCCCCGAGAAGGTGGGATTGCTTTGGAGTGCCAAAAGGCATGCCCCCCCCCCCAATACACAAACAGGCCCAAAGCAGGGCAGTCAGAGGCTTTGAGGGGGCCAGCTGACTTAACCTTTGCCTTCAGTGCCCTTGCAGTGATGGTGACTTGATGTCAATCTCATAATACAATTAGCGACACGCTTACCGCTAACCCCGCTCCCGCTGCCCGGCCGTTTTCGGGGGCATGTCGGTGCTGACAGGCCAGTCAGAGCTGGCGCGCTCCATCAGTGCCCCCCGAACTTTCGTCTCCTCCACGTTTGGGTTTTATTCTTACTGACTAGGGGTACTTAACTCTGCTGCGTGTCAGGAAGGAGAGCAACAGCCGGGGGTGTGGGCGTCTCTCGGACTGTGACATCAGCTGCTGAAGAATGACGCGAGAGGAGCAGGGAAGCTGGGAGGCCCGATTCATAAGGGAGATATCAATAGCAATACAATCCAAATGGTGTGACCCGGGCTGAAGTGCGGTTTTGTATGCTCTCCAGTGTTTATTTTTATGGACCTGAAAGGTTTACTCAGATATCCAGGCACTGTCTCCTATCAAGTGTGTCTGTGATTTAAAAAAAAAAAAAAATCTGCAAAAGTGAAAGAGAAGCAGAAAAAAAAAAACACTCCGGAAACTTCCGAATGGAGTAGTAAAGGCACGGCTGTCTGTTGCTTTCTTTTGAAGCCTGGCTGAGCTTCTCTTTGAGTTCAGCTTCAGCATTGGCTGGGAGGTGTGGGACCACCCACACAGACGTGGTGGTTTTGGAAAAGGAGCTGAATCCCCTTTTTGTGCATGGGAGTCAGTGTGTGTCTGCGTGCGTCTGCGTGTGTCTGCATGCATCTGCGTGCGTCTGTGCGCGCACACTAAGACAGCTATCAATCACATTGTGTTATGGGGTTCTCAGCGAGCGTAAATATGGTCTGCAATTAATCAGCCCAGTCTGCATGGGGGTCATCCTGGACCGAAAGTCCTCACTTCCATAATGAGATACTGTACCCCCAGCGCCCGTGGATGAACTGTTAATATCTGGGCCGCTCAGCATCTGCGTGTCATGACAAAGGCCCCCAGTGTTGTGGAGTAAAGCATGTCAGGCTGTGCCCGCCTCTGTGCCACCAAGAGCTCAGGGGGGGTCTGCCACAGGCCCAAATCGGAGGACGCTCCTTTTTTGGGGGGGGGGTGGCACGGCAGGGGTCTACTGCAGGCATCATATTAAGTTCCGTTGGGAGACAAGGATACCGCTGACATTTGAAGGCTCTTCAGCCGCGTCGAACGGGGCCTGTCTTTGGTTGGAGGGGGTGGAGAGTTGGGGGGGGGGGGGGATGGAAAAAAAGGGTTATTCTTACAGGAATTCCTTAACATTGTTAATCTCGGCGGGCGTCCCGATCTTCTTCCTTCTGTCTCACAGCTTGGGCCAAACCTGTGGCGATTCATCTTTCATTTAATGACTGAAGCTGTCTTGAAATGCTCAAAGGGGTGTGTTTTAGAGGAGTGTGTGTGTGTGTGTGTGTGTGAGAGAGAGAGAGAGAGAGAGAGAGAGAGTTTTAGGGAGCAGTCAGTCAGCTCAGCTAATTTATAGCACTTGTAAGAGGTCACAGGCCTTGTCATGTTGTGGTGCGTTACCAAGGAAATGCGCGATCATGTGATGTCATAAGAAGGTGTCTTTGTTAAAGCATTTTAAATGAGATAGATTAACATTCATGGCTCGCTGGACCTGCTGAGATACACATTTTATTGCATTTCCCAGAATTCTTTTGACAAAAAAAATGCAAAGCCTTAAAGGAATATACACGTATCTGAGATATGAACAGTCTAGTATAAAAATGTTGACTATTGAAGGTCTTCCTTTCCTTCAAGTGACTATTCAAGAAACTAAGTTCTCGCATTAGGATGCCCTGTAAAGTGATTGTGTTCTATTGTTTTTAACAGAATATAATAATTGTCATGATAATTGTCCTGTTGTTTGTAAACTGAGCATAAGGTTTGTGTCACCGTGTCGTGTTTTTCCTGTATGCTCACTATAAATGATTCTGGAAATTGTTCAGAGCGGTGATTTTGTAATTGTCTGGTTTGTTGCTGAGTGCATATTACCTTTTGGGTTTTAGTTAATCACCAGAGAGTGTGAATGTGTTATCTGATATAATACATCAGATTAGCGGTTTCAATTAGCATGCCAAAGATTGCTGAAGACGATAGTAGACACAATGGACCAACGTCCACAATCCCCCTATTGATGGCGTTGAACTCTGTATTTGCATTTGAGTAGGGGAGCTTTCGGAGCGAGATGAAAACGTGGAGAGTTTAGTTCCATCCCACCATCTGGGAATAAGACTAGATAAAATACATAGTATGAAAAAATAAAAACTTGGTGAAATGAAATAAAAAGTTTTGAAATAAATTTAAACGAGGACCTTAATAGCTGTATTAATTGCTGTAAATATTTTAAAAACCTAATGTGAGCGGCCTGTTGGTTTATAGCACAGAAGATACGTAGTTTATTTGCTAATGTCGCTGGAAGGAAAACCACATTGAATTTCGAAAAAGAGGCAGGCTGGTCTGTGGATGCTAATCATACTGGCCGACAGCCGAGTAATGTGGCATTTCGAGACCTAGTCAATTCACACTGTAAAATAAACCATTCTTTAGCTCATTTTCCTTTTTATGGAGATTTCATGACAGATTTTGATTTGTGTCTGTACCATTACCGAGTCACGAATGCCCAGCGTATTTGGTTCTGAGCCACCGTTGCGTATGCCGTACCCTGCGTGCTGTGATTATAGTGCAGTAATTCATCCGTTTCTCTGAGGTGTGCATCTTCTACCATTGATTCCCGCTTTTTACGGTTTAGTTTCGTCCGGGGGAAGTCCGCGACTGAAGGCAGCAGGGACGCTCTGTTGTGGCCTGTCATGTGACGATTCTGTCAGGTAGCATGACTCGCATATGCAGTCCTGTTCTAATTCTAATTTTGAACTGAATACATTTAAATACAAATTTCAATCAATATGTATTTTTGCATTCCTAGCCAAAGGCTTCAGCATAAATTACATTTTTAATTCCAGCAAAAAATGCCCCTTTCTCTGGATTAAGATACTATGGCTGCTGCTGCAGATAATACTACTACTACTACTAATAATAATAATAATAATAATAATAATAATAATAATAATAATGTTTGTTGTATAATTTTAAATTATAAAAATGGTTAACTAAAAGCAGGTTCGTTGGGCTGGTAGATATTTTCAGTCTCATAGTGAGAATCACTTGAATAAACACATAATTAAATAACACTGACCGGCATTTTAGAATCACATTTCATCATTTGAGAAGCAAATTGTTTAATCACATTTACATATTTAAAATATTTTTTTAATTAATTAATTTTCAAAGAACAAAATGCAGATTCTGGAATGATGTGCGCCATGTAGCATTTAAAGGGGGGGGGGGGGGCTTGGAAGATACACCCCCTCACCCCCATAGGCGCTTGTGCCTCTGAAACGTCCAAAGCCACTGTTTAGTCAGTCCAGTCGTTTGTTAAAAACAGTTCAAATGCTGTACATTTGTGCCTTTATTATTCGCAACTACAAATCAAAGATTTTGCATTGAGTGATTTTTAATGAATGTGAGGGTGACGGGGGCCACAGAAAAATGGGGGTAAATGAAAATACGGGCGGACCTTTACAGACCCACAAAAGAACAGATGAATACAAACATGAGAGTAATTCCCATGTTAATAACTAATCTAGCCTGAACAGCTCCTACTAATTTACACTGACCTTTCAACCCCCAATTATGCAAATGAGCATCTCTGTCAGCTGATCATGTAAGGCGATTTGTCTTGAAGCTCACGTGTTTGGCCGCTCTGACTGCATCGGTCTGGCATCGCAGATCAGCGCTGCTTGTGTTATAACCTGAGTCGCTGCTGCATTCTTCACATAGACAAGGGCTTTAACGTGTCTGTTTTTCTTTCGTTTTTTATTTGCGCTTATTGTTAATTTAAGCCACCCTCACATCCTCATATTTGTGGTGGCTTTACCCTGATACTTTTACTAAAACCTTATTTGAAAATTAGTTATGTTTTAATTATTTTAAAGGATTCTTTTCTGATTGTGTGCTAGCCCCCATGGCAAGAGGCTGCAGTTCAGATAATGCATTCTTTTATTAATGAATCATTTACGGAGTCTGACCCAAAGCACAGACATTAAGCATAGCCCCCCCCCCCCTGCAGATCCCTGCCCTTCCCTTCCCATTACTGCTGCCGGCGTTTCAGGTGGCTGGCCGTCCAACTCGAAGTGCTTGGAGCTCTTGTATGCGGTGTGGAGTCCGCATGCTCACGTCCCAGCCTGCCACACACGCACGGCAGTGTGCTCGATCAAGTGGCTGTGTAGCAGCACAGCGAGGGGGTAGCCTCTTACAGGACTGATTAAACATGTGTGACTAATTAGTGACCGTCGTACCACGGCTCTACCATGTAATTTGTTGAGCCTCTTTTTAGGGAGCAAATAGGATGCAGCGAACTAACACAGAAAATCCGTCTTTCTCTGAGTAACATAGCTGCCTACTGCTGTTTGTGCCACTAAAGGACACGCATGCTTTATTTCCTGTTTGATTAACAAGTTGAGTAAACCTATTTCAAAATGGCCCTGTCATGCCTATTTGTAGAAGTCTGAGAGATCGAACCGGTCCGTCGTTTTAAACGCGACGATTATACATTACTGTGGCCCTGTCGAAGGAATCAGCAGAGGAATTCCAAATGGCGCGGATCTCAGGACACTCGAGAGCCGAGGGGACTCCTAATGAGTCCATCAAAGACTTAATCTGCACTCAACAGACGGCATACTTTACAATTCGATGAAAATATTGGAAATCGATAGCTTCTATGGAATTTCATTAAGCGGCAGTTTTCACGACTGATAGGCCCTTCATAATATGATGGATTGTGCAAAGACAATTATTAGCAGGGTATAAGGGCAGGAACTGGAGACGTAGGAAGAGATTAACACTCAGCAAGGATGTTTGCTCTGAATGGCTGATGAATATCTCCCCATTTTCTTCTCTCCCCTTTTTTTATAACCTGGGACACGCATGCAGCTCCAGGAGAGGGAGTGGATGATGGCGACAGTGGGAACGAGAGCCGGAGCGGCAGTGAGGAGACCCACGTGTGTGACAAGTGCTGTGCCGAGTTCTTCAAGTGGTCAGACTTCTGCGAGCACCTGAAGACCTGCACCAAAAACCCTTTGGTGCTCATAGTCAATGAGGACGAGGCCACACCCGACCCCCAGGACTTCACAGGTCAGCCGTCGCCGGCCGGCAGCTGCCAAAGTGAGCCAGGTGACAGCGAGGATGCGGACGAAGGCGCCGCACCAGGAGAGGGTGATGAAGATGCTGAGGCGATGGCAGGGTCGGTCTTGAAAGCTGCCCCAGAGAAGGAGGATGAGCCCATGGAGGTGGAGCGGTCTCCGGAGAAGCCCGCCGATCCAGAGGAGCCAGCCGGTTCACCAGAACCCGATGCCCCACTACCTCAGATTGCAACCCCGCCTTCTGTGACGGTCTACAGCATGCCGAGCACCAACGTGACCCTGGAGACTCTGCAGAGCACCAGGGTGGCCGTGGCACAGTTCTCCCAGAGCTTCCGCGTGGGCCCTGGTGGAGTCTCCACCGTAGCCATCCCCATGATCCTGGACCAGCTGATGGCCCTGCAGCAGCAGCAGATCCACCAGCTCCAACTCATCGAGCAGATCCGAAGCCAAGTGGCCATGATGAACCGGCAGCCCATGCAACCGGTCCTCAATCCCGTCGGCATCCCCCAGGGGGCACCCTCCATCCCTGCTGCCAGCCAGCTCCAGCTGCAGGGCTTCATTACCCCTCCAGTCCACCAGTTGCCCATCAGGGTCCCATCAGCTGCCAGTGGACAGCCCTCCATCTCACTAGCCTCATCTCTAGAAGGACCACAGTCACTCTCGTCCCAGACAGGCTCTGGGCCCCCTGCTCCCGGAATAACCAACAGCACTTTGGTTTCGGCTGCCCCCAGCCTCCCCCCGTCCAGCTGCAGCTTGGTGTCCTCTCTGCTTCCGCCTTCCTGCGCGGTCACGAATGCAAACAGCAGCGGCGGCAGCCAATCCCGGAATTCCTCAAGCCCCCCATCCTTGGGCCACGGCAGCATCTTAAGTCCACCTTCCAGCCTTCCACTCCTACCTCAGAGCTCCTCCAGCAGCGTCATCTTCCCCAACCCGCTGGCTAGCATCGCCGCCACAGCCAATGCGCTGGACCCGCTCGCCGCCCTGATGAAGCACCGCAAGGGGAAGCCACCCAACGTGTCCGTGTTCGACACCAAGCCCAGCTCAGAAGATCCCTTCTTCAAACATAAGTGCCGGTTCTGTGCCAAGGTGTTCGGCAGTGACAGCGCCCTGCAGATCCACCTGCGCTCGCACACCGGGGAGCGGCCCTTCAAGTGCAACATCTGCGGCAACCGCTTCTCCACCAAGGGGAACCTGAAGGTTCACTTCCAGAGGCACAAAGAGAAGTACCCTCACATCCAGATGAATCCTTACCCAGTTCCCGAATACCTCGACAATGTGCCCACTAGCTCTGGCATACCGTACGGAATGTCTTTGCCCCCCGAAAAGCCCGTCACGACCTGGCTGGACAGCAAGCCCGTTCTACCGACTGTTCCTACATCAGTGGGCCTCCAGTTGCCCCCCACTCTTCCTAGCATGGGGAGCTACAATGATTCTCCAAGTCTTACTCCCCTGAGCCGATCACCACAGAGGCCATCCCCAGCTTCCAGTGAGTGTGCCTCGCTTTCTCCTAACCTCCTAGGGGCTGAACCCAGCACTCCTATGGCTTCAGAGTCCTCACAGCCTAACCTTGGAGTTGACGGCCCTCCCGTCCTAAAGCCAGAGGGAATCCTCCTTCCCTCGAACTGCACAGTCCGCCCAGGAGAGAGCTGTACAACAGTGACCCAAGTGGTTGTCTCAGCCACCATCACCACAACCACAGCGACAACCGCACAGGTGACAGAACCTGTCACCCCCCCCTCGTCCATTTCCAGTGCTATAGTCCCACTAATGTCGGACCAGTTTAAGGCTAAGTTTCCCTTCGGGGGTCTTCTAGATTCTATGCAAACTTCAGAGACCTCGAAGCTGCAGCAGCTGGTTGAGAACATTGACAAAAAGATGACAGACCCAAACCAGTGTGTGATTTGCCACCGTGTCCTCAGCTGTCAGAGTGCCCTGAAGATGCACTACCGCATTCACACAGGGGAGAGGCCCTTCAAGTGCAAGATCTGTGGCCGGGCGTTCACCACCAAGGGCAACCTCAAAACACACTTCGGAGTCCACAGGTCCAAGCCGCCTCTGCGGGTCCAGCATTCCTGCCCCATCTGCCAGAAGAAGTTTACCAATGCTGTGGTCCTACAGCAGCACATCCGAATGCACATGGGCGGCCAGATTCCCAACACACCTCTGCCCGACAGCTTCCAGGACATGGATACAGACCTCTCTCTGGATGAGAAGAGCTTGGACGCAATGAGCAACTACGACGATGAACTGATTGATGAGATGGAGCAGTCCATGGAGGAGGACACTGACTTCAAGGAGGGGGAGCTTGACCCTTCCAAACCTCTGATCTCTTACTCGGTCATGTCCCCCAGCTCTCCCCCCTCTGTCATCTCCAGTATTGCAGCCCTGGAAAATCAAATGAAGATGATTGACTCCACTGTGAACATGACCCACTCCTTTGGGCTGAAGTCAATGGAGAACGGCTTTCTAGAGAGTGACCGCCTGACTAATGACTCTTCTTCTGCGGTTGGTGATCTAGAGAGCCAGAGTGCTGGCAGCCCCGCCCTCTCAGAGTCCTCCAACTCCATGCACGCCCTCTCCCCAGTCCACAGCCACTCTGAGAGCCTGCGGTCTAAGTCTCCAGGGGCACCCAATACAGAAGAGATGCCAGACATAGTCATGGCAGTGAAGTCTGAGAAGTCCGACACCCCATCACCAGTGTCCGCATCCGAAAACGGCGGGGCGCTTGATCTGACAGCGACCCAGCCCATCAGGTCCTTCAGTCAAGAGGAGACCCAGTTTGGCATGCTGCTCCTCAGCCGAGAGCGTGGTAAGTTTTAGGAAATCTGTGCCAAGGCCCTGTAATTCAGATTAAATGGAATAATTTACAGTCGCAGTCCTTCTGAGTAGATCCGGCCTGTTTACTCACAAGGTCTGCGATCACAAGTGTCCCAGAGTGAACTTTGCTTTCAGAAAGTTCCTTCTCAGTTTCAGATGGTGTTTGGTGTTCAAACGAGCTAAAAATAGCAACAAGAATGGCAGTTTCAATGACAGACATTCTTGTTTACGTCTACGTTAGTTTTGAGAAGCAGCCACCGGTGCTTTTGTAGAGCAGCACATAGAGAAGTCCTTTTACGGGGCCTTTTTTATCGAACAGTGTCGAAGCATCTAAACAGAGCTGTTTTGTAGGTACAACACAAAGCACACCCAGCCTGCTTACCACGGCACCCAGCCTCATCAAGGTCGAGGTGAACGGACATAGCAAGCCAGCGTCGGTGAGTGAGGGCCCCCACCTCGCCCTGGGAATCCAGGTGCCCGCGCCCCCGACGGGTGCCGTCAGCCCGGGCCTGGCCCCCATGCTGGCCCCCCCGCCGCCCCGCCGGACCCCCAAGCAACACAACTGCCACTCGTGCGGGAAGAACTTCTCCTCGGCCAGTGCCCTGCAGATCCACGAGCGCACGCACACGGGCGAGAAACCCTTCGGTTGCAGCATATGCGGCCGCGCGTTCACCACTAAAGGAAACCTGAAGGTGCGTCGGGAGCGAGTCGCGTTAGCGCCGCATGGAGACTGTGACGCACACTCCTCAGCTCCGCGCCCTGTATGCTTACATCACAATCAGAATCGCCTTTATTTCACCTAGTATGTATGTTGAATTTGTTCTGCTGTGTCTAATCATACATACATTAACACACATTATAAATTCAGTAATAATTATTATTGATACACATTAATAACCTAATATATAAACATTTTAAAGCAACAGGATAAAAGGCATATATATATATTATGTTTTATATATTTACTTTTTATTTACAGGTTTCAATACAAATACATGGTAAATGCTCTGTCCCTGTGATAGTGTTAATACTGCAGTATATGTGTAATAGCAAAAGATGAAATTAATAGAATTACAATGTTCAGCTTATCCATCTATATAACTATATTTGTAACCCTCCATTTATGTTTCACATTTTTTAAAAATGTATTTGCCAAAACATAGTTGTTTAGCTCACAAACTGCAGTCAGTCGCTGCAATAATAACAAAAGCGATAAAGCTAAGAGTTCTGAGTTTTTCACACAGTAGTAACACATACAGAGCATGGACACATGCACACGCATCCACAAACAGCCGTGACACTGCCAGCCGATCAAGCCAGTTGCTGACAGCAGTGTGAAGTGACACAGATGCAGACGCACCACACCTGGGCCCGTTTCACACTGTCCCCCCCCCCCCCCAAGAGCTAGCTTTTCATTCCACGGCACTTGATCTGATGTGGCACAAGCCCACCTGCCGGTGAATCCCGTTCTTTCTCCCTTGTGAGGATGGCGCACTTTTCACGGACACGACGTAGCTTACAGCAAGATTTTGGGTAATTTCCTTTTAACAGGCAGAGTGCATTTCCCTGACATCAAGTACTAGTTGGAAGAATATGTTTACAGCCTTTGTCTCTTTGTTATATACCAGAATAACCACAGTGCAAGGAACCACAGTCATACGAACGAGATGGACGTAAAACTGGCGTATCACATTTTTCATACGTGTTTTTTCCTGCGTCTCATGTCAGGTTATAATCAGAGGCTTTGGATTATGTAGCACCTTAAATACTGAGGCCTGCCATATCCTTTTTGTATCTATCTCTTGATCAAGTACTGGGTAGTCCTCTCCCATGTTCTGAGCTTTATTCCAGTGTTTTCACCTTCTTGTCCTCTCACCCACAGGTTCACATGGGCACCCACATGTGGAATAATGCCCCGGCCAGAAGGGGGCGACGTCTCTCAGTGGAGAACCCCATGGCCCTGCTGGGTGGCGATGCCATCAAGTTCAGTGAGATGTTCCAGAAGGACCTAGCAGCGAGAGCCATGAACGTGGACCCGGGCTTCTGGAACCAGTACGCGGCCGCTATCTCCAACGGGCTAGCTATGAAGAATAACGAGATTTCCGTCATCCAGAACGGAGGTGTGACCCAGCTCCCTGTGGGTTTGGGTGGTGGAGGAATTCCCTCACTGGGGGGGCTCTCTGGGGGCATGGACAGGGCACGCACGGGAGGCAGCCCCCCCATGACAGGGCTTGAGAAAGTTGGTATGGACATGGGTGTGGCACGACCCTTCTCTAGGTTTATCGAGGAAAACAAAGAAATCGGAATCAATTAAAGCAAGCTTTCCGGTGAGGGATGCAGGGACGGACAGACTGCATTAAGATGTTAAAATCAACTGCGACACCACTTTGAACTGTATGTATGATAGTATGTACAGGTGACATTTTTGTTTGTTTTTGGTTTTGGAACGATAGTGTTCGATATTTGTTAGAGATTGGTCTGTCTTTACCTTGGTCTCATCTCCCCTCACCATTTTGCTCACATGAGGAACGCGTTTCTTGTCTGGAAATCGGTTGTCTTGCAAGACTTGCATGGTGCTGCTTTGGTTCGTACCAGTTCCGTCCGAGGCTTCTTTTCTGTTTTTTTTCTAAAAAAAAAAAAAAAAGACTATATAGGCATTTGTGATGGGCTCGCCTCCTGTTCGTATCGCTGAGATGAGGAAGTGGCACGTCTCTCAGGGAACACGCGGAGAGACTGGCTGAGTCACGTCCTGACCTGTATACGCTCTTCCACAGGAGAACTTCTGATTTACGAGAAAAAAAGTACATTGTTTTAGTGCTCGTCTAATATTTTTTCTCATAAAGTAGAGAACTTGAAAAATGTTTGAACTATTTTAATCTTTACATCTAGTCCCTTGACATTGTGTAATATTAATGTCCGGTGTCTTTAGTATTTATAATATTGAAAAAGCGGGTATAAAAAATATATTTAATAGCCCCAACATTTTATTGATCTTTTTTTTTCTAAATTACAGACTTCAGATATAAATGTCTCTTTCAAATAAAGACATAAATGTCATTTCATCTGATCGAAACAAAACCATTGTGACGTTTTGTTTGGGACTTTAGCATGACGGAGTGGAACGTGAAGTAGGAGTTGACATGGGCTGCTATTTTGACATTTGTGCTGTTAAGAGACAACTTTTGTAAATGTGTTGTCTAAAATGATAAAATAAAAAAAGACAAATAGAAATATGTATGCTTGTTTTCTAATACAGATACAGTAAAAACGGTATATTGCTTTATTTAAAAATGCATTGCTTTATATAGGCCTAACTTAAGGTTGTGTTTAAGTCCTTGCATGTTTTGGAGGAAGGGTTTGTCTATAATTTATTCTCTTAACTCTCTGCTATCACTTATTTTTTAATGATATTAGTGTTTTTCCATTACATATAGCGTTTTGTGGAGTTTACCTGCTTGCTTTCCCAGGAAAAGGCATTTAAAGTGTGATAAAAGACGTATGTTTACTGGTAAAACTTATTATCCGTCTTTAACTTACTACTGTTTTAGTGGGAGCTTTTCGCACAGCGTAATGCTTCACTCGCCCATAAATGACTGTGACATGACGTCACGTAGAACGGCTGGCTTACGTCACAACGTCCGGCAGCAATGCGGCGTGGGGGAATACCTTAACGGAAGTTACGCAGGTGGCACTGGATGGCAGTGCGTTACTGGTTTTATTGGAAGAAGATCCGGATCAGTTGTGTTTAGGCAGTTTGTATGTTTAGGATGCCTGTTTTTGTTCTACATGCTGCCTCAGTGTAAAACCCAGCCCATTTCCCACCTTTACGTGTTTTTTATTCTGTTGATAATCCCTGCCTAAAATCACAGCCTTTTTACATAGACGATGTTTGGCGTTTTTGACGGGCTTTCATTACTGCTAGCGTAAGTGTAAGACACGAAGAAAAAAACGTGATCATTTCAGTAGCTTAGCAGGGTGCCCTCGTTCCCTGCTACCCAGTGAATTGGTGCAGAGCCGCTTACTGGATCCGTATCGCTGGGACTGGTGTGCTGAGCACTTCACCTTCACCCCCTCTTCCGACAGGCTACGTAGAAAAAATGGCAAGCAAACCTTTAATATCAGTAGAAGAAAGGTTTGCTTGGCATCGCCCTATTAATAGTGCAGTACACCCCGCATCCGCGGTGCCTTCCCTGGATAACAGCGCATGGCTATGGCGTTTCTTTCGGCCACAGAATACCGCGGTAAACCTAGCCTCATATTCGGTATCCAGTTTACCGGTTATACCCCAATTACCTTTTAACAAAAGGAAGGTATAGGCGGTTAATGTTACAGCAGCATAAGATGCAGCTCAGGACACGCCGTACTCCCTGCCAGTTAAAATCTTACATTTACTCAATGGGTGGGAGTAAATCATTGCGTTTCACAGGTGTCTTGTAATAATTACTAAATGTTTAATTATTCAGATATGGCAATATGATTATTTACGTTACTTTCCGATAGAGAATAATGCTGATGCTTGTTAGGGGCAGCGTCAGTTTCCAGAGAATCGGCGCTCCGTCCGTCTGTCTTGCGCTATTCTTTGGTCTCACGGCGATATCTTAAGTTTCAGGAAGACAGCTGGTGAAGCCTCTTGCAGGCGTTTCATTTTCTGCCTACGCATATTCCCTCTAACTGACAAGTTTCATTCTACGAAGTTTGAGATTTCTTAATCGATCTGGAGGACACTGAAATTGAGACATATGCAGCCACATCAGCTATGCCAACTACCAGTTTCAACAGTTCAAAATACAGCATTATTCAGTCCCTCTGTTGTTAGACTGCGCTAATTGATAAACATACTTTAAGAAATTATGTTTCTTGGCATACTTTTATAAACCACACACAGCAGTGCGTATGCTATGCATTATTGTCTTATAAAACCTTCGCAGGTGTGTGTGTGTGTGTGTGAGAGAGAGAGAGACAGAGAGAGAGAGAGCTATAAACCCCAAACAGCACTGTTTGCGAGTTGCACGGCAGCAGCTCAGTATCGTGCTTCAAATGTAGTGAAACGTTTTAAAAACCGTATAAGCTGAAATTGACAAAGGGGCTACTTAAATAATCTTTTTTTCCCCAAATCACACAGATCAAACATTAATACTGTGTGTTGAAATAAGCAGTCATAAACACAACAATCTGCACAGCATATCATACTGACAAGTAGCAAACTACTAAACCTTCTACTAAACCTAATAACTGATCTTTAACATTGAAGAGAGGTTGAGATCATTCGCCTACTATAGGCTATACCTAAACACATTCACTCCCTCACACACACTTTCAGTGCAGTAAAAAGCACTTTCTTCTAAAGTGAATGGGGTTTTACATAATAAACGCGGTCATCCTATGGGGGATGGAAGGCGACTGGTCGAGCGGCCGATTCTGAGACAATAATAGTGATTAAATCTATAAAAATGGCCTGATCGCTGCGTGACCTATCTTGGGGGTAATGGTTCTCATAGCAAAGGTAAAGCAATAACATAAACATTAAATACGAGAAACATTGGCTCTCTACCGCTCTTCATATTTAGAAAAAATTGACAGTACAATTACATCCATATTAAATGATGAGTGATGAAGCACGGGAATGCATCTCTAACGTGAGACTTGCAAATAATATTAAAGGGAAAAAAGATAGTCCGCCTGCTCTGCACTTCAGCATCTAAAGAGGGTTATATTGCGTTCGCACGTATGACCCAGCACCGTTTTATCTTCTGAGCAATCTCTCTTCATAATCCGCCCGACCTAGCATTTGGTACTCAAGATGGCCATCAAGAAACTATTATTAGGACATGTTCAGTCCTTTAAACCGCAGAAGAGAAACCGTGCGGTAGTTTTTTTCCCCCTTTTTTTAGTTTACCTTCACCGCGTAAGTAGAAGCGCGTCGTGGAGATAATAGGCTGCCTATTGAAACATAGGCCTATTTCAGAATATGAAAGTTACAACCACGAAATCTTTCTCATTGTACTGTGTATGCCGTGTGCATGGAGGCAAACAGTTCTGGTATTTGCTAAACTGAAATGCAGCTTGGCCAATAAATCAGATGGACAAATGGGCGGTCAAGTTAACTGACAGTCAACAGTATGCGTGTGTAATGAAATAGACATTAAATGCGTTCTGTTTGCTCCTACTGTGAGGCACTTGCTGGGGATAAAAATGGAAAATGAGGTACTGGGGAATAAAAGTGCACGTTTACATTTGGCTGTTTTCAAGTTCAAGATATCAGTGGCAGAGAGGGTATAATATTTAGAAGACGGGCCACTTTATTTTTTATATTGATGTTGGCAAATATCCTTAAGGGCTTTTAGTACAGTTATGAATACCGAAAGCATCTTTAAATATCAGAGGGATGTCATGGAAAAACAGAGCGGCCACGTTTTAAGCTGACGCTCCTGGGTTTGTTTTACCATCAGTCCTATCAGTGAGTGTCGCTTTTGGTTTGGACTTGCAATCAAACAGGTAAGTCTCTTATTTATCCCCGGCGCTTGGATGTTTCCATCTCCCATATAGACAAACTTGATATACTGTATATTTCTTTTCCACCCGCGCACGGAGCAGAGCAAGAGATAAAATATAACATAAATCGGCAACAATTTAATCGCTCCCCGTGTTTTGCCATAAGCTATACAATCGTCTCTGTTTAGAAGAAAGATAATTATGTCATTTTAAAATGAAAATTGACATGAACGCATAGTGTGCATTAACGGCATGGTATCGTCTTTGTCTATTCTCTAAAAAAGTCTCAATTTCAGCAAATTCTCAAATGTCAAATTTTAAAGTGCACACTCACGCATTCTGAACGTCTCCGACTAACTAAATTAAGTAAAACTATTTCTCAGATTTCCCTTACTAAGATATTGGGTTCACACACACACGCACACACACACACACACACAGGGTAACTATACAACACAACCGAAACGAAGCAGTACACTAACTTCCGCAGATTCTGCCTTCTTATGGCTTATCCCTGCTGTACTTCGTACGTTCATAGAAGTCGAAAGTCACACCGTCAATCATGTGTAAATTGCCTAAATTTAAAGGTCACAGTTTTGCCTAAGGCACGGACGTGTCTTGTGGATACTGTGTGTTTCTCAATACCCAGAAGCCAAAGACCGTAATTGTGGTCTTGAGAAGACCGGTCTTGTTAACTTGCCTTCCAAGAACGAACTTGGGGCGCAATGAATCATGGCATTGGTCTTGCTTGACGAGGATGCAGGATGTATCCTTGATATTTGGGACGGGGCAAGAAAAACATAGTGATTTTTACCGTCCCCTCTACTTCTGTTCTTAGTATTGGAACTGGTCTTCGGCACTGGAAGATGACATAAAACGGGTACGCGAGAACACGAGTACAGTCAAGTAGGCATTTTGGGAAACACCCACATCTTTAAAATCAAGTGACCGTTTGGAAAGGTGTTTTGGTGTTTCTATATATAGATATGGAATTATTCATATTGCGGGAGATTTCTCCAACGTGCTGTGCTGTAACTATACGCACGCAAAACAGTCAGCAATAAGAGTGCTGGGGACGACTGACGCACTGTGCCCCCCCCCCCCCCGCCTCTCAGTGTCCTCCAGGCTTGTGGTATGAAGGGATTTCAGAGCCCCCATACCACTGGAAACGATTATTGGCTTAGGGTGACAGGCTGAAGCATATGATGGCACAACTGTGCCACCCACCCCTCGGCGGGAGACCGTCTTGTACTTGTAGAAAGGAAGCAGGGGGCAGGGGGGCAATCAGGGGTTATGGTGCAGCAATATCATGGATTAAAATAGATTCAGCCTCTGTCCTGTGTTTCCATAAGAGATGCACCGATTGTGTCGGCCAATGCTGCTTTGCACAACTGCGTACTAAACAGTTAGAAAAATGTTTGCTTTGTGGCATTATTTTAATGTTAGGGAAAACGCCATTAGAAATGCATTTAGCAAACATTGCTCTGCTAAAATTTCGCGAGGAGGATCTACCAAAACATTTCAACGCAAAAATTTGATTGCTCACCTTAAGGCGAGACAGTGAAGAGAATGAAGAGTTTCAGAAAAACAGATTCGGTTTGATAAAGGCTGCAGTACTGTTGAATAACGCTAGACCGCCAGTGACGCAAGCCTTTGATAGCAAAAGAAAATTCTGTGCTGACAGGGAGAAATTAAAAGATAATACTCTGAAAATTACAGAGTTTATCACACTTGATGATCAGCCCTTCTCGGTCATAAATGTTATAAATATATACGATCTATACAGTTATAAAATATAGTGCTATATATTTAAACTTATTTAAGCATAATCTCCCAAACAATCGGTATCGGTGTTAGTTTTCGAAACCATCGGCTATCGGTATGGGCCAGAAATTTCCTGATCGGTGCATCACTATATTCCATAGGATTTAGCTGCTGCGGTGGCTGGGAAAATATTCTGCTAGTTGCTTTTGTGATGCCCCAAAATGAACATGGCTTTTTGTGGGTGTGGCTTAAACACGTGGCCAGGAAAAAATGTTGCCAAAACGATAATTCACGGCCACAGCCAGAGCGACTTACATAAGTACACAGGACACGGTACCTGAAGGAACTTATAAGACATACAGCCATTGAAATGGGAAAAATGAGAGAGGCAGAAGTAAACAATTAAATAATTAAGAAGTAATGTATTTTAAAATCTTTGGGACAGAGAAAAGAATCAGGAGGCTAGGTTATAAAAAGGCTGTGTTAGTTTTTTTTGAAAATGTACTTTTTTAAGAAACACACAACCCCTTGTTAAACCATCCATCTTTGCTAAACTGCTTTTACTTTCATGTCATAATCTGCTATTTTTTAAAACCAGATTTTTCTATAAACAGCCTCAGAATTAAACATAAAAGTAAGGAAGTTGTGCATTTTATAAAAATACATGCTGAGAATGTTCCAAGAGACAGATATAATTATCTTATTTCTGCTCTGAATATATCGCTCTGGGCCTACAAAATGAAATTATGCTTTAAACCTACCCCTTACAAATGTCTTCTCTGCAACATCTAAAACGAGTCACTGATGCCCGTGACTGGGCACAGTAATTAGTTGATGCAATAAAACAATATAAATGCGAGAAAGTTAACACATCAGAAGGGAACGTCACACCAAATAGTCTGGAAATTGGATTAACCAATGAGCACACTGGTGTGATGGCCACTGGCATGATGATTGGCAGGCAGGATGGTGACCACTCCCCCTTTCTTCTTTGCCGTTGCCAACAGAACGGTACTTGACTGCATACAGGTCACCAAAGAGGTCTGGCCGTCCAGATCACTGCGTCTTTAGTGTGGTACGTGTGAAAACTGTGAACACCATCCTGTGCATATATGTCAGGCAGAAATGCAGTGATTATGGGTCTGTTCCACAAGAACATATTCCAAACCAAGCAGTGTGGTCGTGACCAACCCTACATGATGATGTCCACTAAGGGAGTCTTGCCCCCCTCCCATTTTGGAGATCCAAGAGAACCAGCTGTCTTGACCCCCTTGTCCTCTAGTTTTCACTGTCACTTATTTCTGCAGATTCTTGGCAAATGAATCGCAGTGTGTGGGCTTCCATTCCAGTGCGTGTCACTATCTGCTCCCCCCTCATTGTTAAATATAACATTCCGGACGTGCCCCGTTCTCATTGCCAGCAATTACCGAATGAAAATCCTCATTCCTGTAGAATGGCCAGACGAATACGGGACTTTTGTCCATTTCAGGGAGCAGAACAATTTTATGCCATTTACAATATAATTCAATATTCTGCAGTTTAACCTTCATAAACGTGCTTTGTTAGGCTTTACCTCAAGTGATTTCAATTATGATACATTAGCCAACAGGCCGTGTTTATGATGAGGACAGTGATCCGTTTGCAAAGCATCCGTATTCATAGTTGGATGTAGCTGTAGACAAGACCTAGAATTTAACTAATATAATTTGCAATGCCTGTGGCATTTATAATGACAATGTGTAATTTTGATGTAGAGACTATTACTGTCATTATAATGAGGAATCCAACAGATGACATTATCTATGTCTGTGCAGAATCTGCTTATGGCTGTCATATTAGTTTGAGGTTGTATGACCTTTAATTGTATATTCAAGCCTATTATTATTATTATCGATCCAATTATTATTATTATTATTACTATTAACAATAGTAATTAAAAATAGCTATGGTATTTGTGCAATGAAAATAAAGATAGCACAATTTAAGTGCTATTTCAAAGACGGTTGCTTCCTGACATACTATGGCTTTTCTTTGGCGGAGGGGGGCTGGCCTACTGAGCTGCACAGGATGTATGAGCCAATCCCCAGCAGCGAAGGGCACTAGGCTGGCCTACCGAGCTGCACGGGATGTATGAGCCAATCCCCAGCAGCGAAGGGCACTAGGCTGGCCTACCAAGCTGCACGGGATGCATAAAGCAACACTAAAGAAGGATATTTTAAAACAATAAAACAAACCATAATTTAAAATGATACTATGCCGGTGCCTAACCTGGTCCCATATGTTTATTTCCTCTAAGGGATTTATTTACATGCTTATTTGCGATGCTAAGTTACCGCGTTGCTGGAGCCTACGGGACTCCGGCCCTCCTACACCCAATCATGGCACGCTATAGTCTATTTACAAGACAGAGGTTTGTAGCAAACTCCAAAGGGATTAGGATATTCACATATTTGCTGCGCTGTAATGCAGTCACTTGTGTATACAAGGCTTTATACTTTTATTGGACAGATGTCTGAATATGAGTTAAGTCTGGAAGTGCTAGCAGTATTTTTCTGGAAGTGTTTTGCAGTATATTTCACTAAAGTGAGTTTATGATGTTACCTCAGTCATGGACTGGAGTGTAAAAATCTTTTGTTCCTAAAATTCAGCCACCCTCCCAGCCAAGACAAGCACATTTCAGAACACTCTGTCATGTATGCCCTCCTGTTGAAGGGTACAGTTAGCCTCCATGGCTACTATTGTCCTACAGTAGATTGGAATGTTGTTGGCATTAAGATGTAATGGTTTTAAACAATGACTCTCCTGAAAACCTTTGCGGCAAAAAAAATTGACCATTTGTACTCGCTGATCACACTAGAATCTACCTCACGGTCTGCTTTGTTCTCAAATTAAAAAGCGATGCCATTTTTTACCACAGAACATCTTTGGTTGGCCAACCTCAACCTGAGTTGTGTCCTTCGTCTTACTGAAGAACAGACATATACATGTCCAGAGTGTTGGGTGGACAGATGGGTAAGATGCGTCCAGGCGGCCTTCCTCTGGGTGATTGGGCTGCAGGACCTTCCTGTGTGTGGTTTGTTTAAAACACTGTGGGGCCTTGCTGTGTGTGTTTTGTTTTGTGCCTTCCTGTGTGAGGTTTGTTTATTGCCTTCCTGTGTGTGTTTTGTTTAGTGCCTTCCTGTGTGTGGTTTGTTTAGTGCCTTCCTGTGTGTGGTTTGTTTAGTGCCTTCCTGTGTGTG